ATTTGGACTCCAGGGGATTTATTGAACTTTGGGAGTGAGTGTGCAGACTCTGACACAAGCAGAACATCTGTTCTGTCATCCTCGAAACAGACTACAGGATAACCCATTTCACCCATGGAGAAACGCCTCTCTTTGGAGGGGCCTGCCCTGCTTCTCTCCAAGAAGGCAGGTGCTTCCTTTCTCCCAGCAAGGAGGGACGTCCCACAGCAACCTGGTGTGGGCTTCAAGATGGCCCCCCCTCCAGCCTTAGCAAACCTTGATTTGTGTTCAGGAGGAGCTTCTGGGTTATACGAGGTCCCAGCCAGCGGAGTTTGGCCTCAGAAGGAGGCTGGAGGGTCACCTCTCAAAGACGCTCTAGTGGACGCTTCACCAAGCTGGAGGTTGGACTAGTCCAGTGTTTCTCAACCTCGGCAGCTTTAAGATGCGTGGACTTCAACTCCCAGAATTCCCCAGCCAGCAACCCTGGAGATTTGACTAGTCCAGTGTTTCTCAACCTCGGCAGCTTTAAGATGCGTGGACTTCAACTCCCAGAATTCCCCAGCCAGCAACCCTGGAGATTTCCTAGTGGTCTCCCATCCAAGTCCTAACCATCAACTAGGGCAGTGTTGTCCAAACTTGGCCACTTTAAGATGAGTGGACTTCAACTCCCAGAATTCCCCGGCCTGCAACCCTGAAGATTTCGTAGTGGTCTCCCATCCAAGTCCTAACCGTCAACTAGGGCAGTGTTGTCCAAACTTGGCCACTTTAAGATGAGTGGACTTCAATTCCCAGAATTCCCCAGCCAGCAACCCTGGAGATTTCCTAGTGGTCTCCCATCCAAGTCCTAACCGTCAACTAGGGCAGTGTTGTCCAAACTTGGCCACTTTAAGATGAGTGGACTTCAATTCCCAGAATTCCCCAGCCAGCAACCCTGGAGATTTCCTAGTGGTCTCCCATCCAAGTCCTAACCGTCAACTAGGGCAGTGTTGTCCAAACTTGGCCACTTTAAGATGAGTGGACTTCAACTCCCAGAATTCCCCAGCGAGACCACTAGGAAATCTCCAGGGTTGCTGGCTGGGGAATTCTGGGAATTGAAGTCCACTCATCTTAAAGTGGCCAAGTTTGGACAACACTGAACTAGGGGACAAGCTAAATACACTCCTTCCAGCTGTCTACTGAACTATGCCGTTTTCTTTTCCCAAGATTTTCTTCTTAAATTCCTAATTAAGCCTACACACCAGAGATTTCCTGGTGGTCCCCCATCCAGTCCTAGCCATCAAGTAAGGGACAAGCTAAACCCACTCCTTGCAACAGTCTACTGAATCAACCATTTTCTTTTCCCAAGGTTTTCTTCTGAGCTTCCTAATCAAGCCTACCCGCAGGAGATTTCCTAGTGGTCTCCCATCCAAGCCCTAACCATCAACTAGGGGCCTTCTGACAGTCTACTGAATCATCTTCCGTAACCTTTGAAAATAACGCCTCTTTTAGGTGGGGAAGGAGAGACGGCAGCGCTATAAATTGATAGAACAAATAAATAAGTTAAAGAAACTGCACGACCGAGTTCGCCAAACCCTCCCCGTATAAACCATTGTCCATGTTTGTTTGCAGCCTCGGGGATCCAGTTGCAAAAGCCAGTAACCGAGACTAGGATCAAGCTATCGGCAGGAGGTACGGCGAACAGATTGTTCTCGCCTAGCTGTAAATAATTCATGTTGTTTCTTAACTAAGAAGGGCAAACATTGTAGGAGCGAAGCCTTGTTCGTCTGTGGCAGCAAAAAATCGGAAGACCATCAGAAATTCAAACCTGCAGCCTTTTATTCAAAGCTTAGGCCGTCGATAAGAGGCTACCCGACGGCGGATTTTTAAGGAGGGCAGGGAGATGCCAACACAAAGCAGCAAACAGCCAGGCAAGGAATGCGGGGCAAGAAGAATCCATGGCTGCGCTGAAAAAACGCTTAAAACCAGGAACATCTGAAGCTCTGCTTGGATGCTGATCCCCTCCTGAATTTTAAAATATAATCAAAATTCAGTATCAAGCCAATCTGGGGGGGGGGAGAAGAAGAGGAAGAGGCAGAAGAAGAGGAAGAGGAGGAGGAAGAAGAAGAAAGAGGAGGAGGAAGGGAAGAAGAGGAAAGAAAGAAAGAGGAGGAAGAAGAGAAGAAGAAAAAAGAGGATGAGGATGAGGAAGGGAAGAAGAAGAGGAAGAAGAAAGAGAAAAGAAGAGGATGAAGAGGGGAAGAAGAAGAGGAAGAGGAAAGAGAAGAGAAGAAGAAAGAGGATGAAGAGGGGAAGAAGAAGAGGAAGAGGAAAGGAAGAAAGAGGAGGAAGAAGAGAAGAAGAAGAAAGAGGATGAGGAAGGGAAGAAGAGGAAGCGGAGGAGGAGGAGAAATAAATTAGGACTTGAATTATTAATTTTTCACCAGTCTTTGACTATGAATCTAATTGTAGACTACCCATAAAAATGATTACTCTTATTATTCAGCAGCGCAACAGGATTGTTCCCAAACTGCCAGCAAACTGGAAGTTCTCCCGGTGGCAGAATATCAGGGAAGTAATCCAACAATGAGGAAGCAGCCAGCGGTCAGTGACTTCCAAAAGACGTTGCCAAGAAAACTGCAGGGACTAGTCCAGGCAGAAATCAAAAAGCAACTCGAAGGCGCCCGAAAATAAATAAAAAAATCTATTATTATTATTATTATTATTATTATTATTATTATTATTATTATTATTTAAAGTTGTAGGCCGCCTGACCCCGTGACTCTGGGCGGCTCGCAACAATCAAAGGCATTAAAACCAAGAGGGCATAAAAAAATAACCTCCTTCGTAAAGATATGAATTGCGTGCAATTCATTTTCCAGCATTAAAAGGCTTGCTGGATAAAAGCTTTCGCAGGGCGCGTCCGTCCCTCCCAAGGTCACCGCCACCGATGCCAGTGACATGGCCGCCACGCGATGTCACCCAGGCGTGGTGCGTCCGTTGCACAACCCTCATTTATTTGTTTATTCGGTTTGTTGCACGATCCTCATTTATTGATTGCCTCGATTTATACAGCCGCCCGAATGCAGGGTAAGCAAACAAACCCCTTTATCGCTGTCCTAGACCTGGGGCATTAAAATCCAGGGAGTTTTCACCGCTGCAGAATTGCGTGCAACGAAAGTCACTTAATCCTATCAAGGTCTTACAGATTCCTGCCGGGCTTTGCATGGCATTGGGCTGGCCCGGGCATAATCCTCCGGTCTCTATGCCAAGCGGGAGAGAGCCGTAAAAGACAGGGCTGTTTTGGCCGAAAGAGAGAACGCTGCTTCCTCCTTACGTCCTTCGAAATCTCACAATAAATCAAAATCTCTGTTGCATCAATGGGTTAATTCCTTACCCACTCAGCTCTCCGGCGAGGAAGATGGCGAGGACTGGAAAGGAGAAGCCTCTGCAGGGGGGTTTTTTGGACAATCCCAAGGGATTCATAACATGAACATCAGACTTGGCCGAAGTAAATTTTGCAATTCCCATTTTCTCCTCTTCTGCATTTCCCCTTTTGCTGTAGCAATGAGCGAAGGATGAAACTTTTCCAGAAAATTATTTAGGGCAGTGTTTCTCCACCTTGGCAACGGTCAGGTGGGTGGATTTCAACTCCCAGAATTCCCCAGCCAGCCCTGGGGAAGTCCACCCACCTGACCGTTGCCAAGGTGGAGAAACACTGGTTTAGGGACTTGGCATCCTGCCTATCCACAAAGAAATGCCCGCAGGAGCTAAAACCAGGACAATTGTCCTCAAAATCAAGCAGACAAACAGATGCCTCTTTTAGATACTAAATATTGGTCTGATGCAAACTGTGGCTTCCACATTGTAAAGGCTGAACCCCCTCCCCAGTTTTAAGCAGGTTGGTGGGAACTGCATCCCCGGGCAGGTTTTTAATTACCCCTCCAAGCCCTCTTCGCTCTGGAGGCGATTTGTGGCTGGAACACCCTCGCTCGCCACGGAAAATGAGATTAAAAACCTTCTAATCTGTCCCGTACGGATCCACGGCGCCCAGCTGACCTCTTTTCACGGCCAGGAGCGGTTTTACATTGGCTCGTGGGCCGGAGGGTAATTCTAAGCAAAGTATTCCGACTGAGGCTGGACGGTCATCGGTTGGAAAGGCTGGGGTGGTGTTCCTTGCCCTGGGGACAGGGTTGGGCTAGATGACCTCTCAGGTCCTCCCCGTCCTTCCATCCGGCTTTAAATGGGGTTCCTGCCCAGAATCCGGCTCGAAGTGGCTTTTCAGACGTCTCGCAAAAGGTGGTGAAGAAATGCTCCGCTGTGGAGAGCATGCTGCGGTTGCCCGCCTATAATTCTTTTTTATATACATATATATGTTGATTAAAGATTTTAAAAAGGATTAAAAACGGATACTAACTAAGATAAGGAAAAGGGAAGATGGAGAAAACAGCATAAGGGAAAATTCAAAAGGGTTCTGTGTCACTCCAGAAGTAGATTCAGTTTGATAGCAGGAGGAATCTTCTGAGGGTAAGACAGGGTTTCTCAACCTTGGCAACTTGAAGACGGGTGGACTTCAACTCCCAGAATTCCCCAGCCAG